ACCGTCGTCTACCGTATCCCGACCATCCCCCAGCTGGAGGACAGGAACCGTCATCTACCATATCCCGACCATCCCCCAACTGGAGGACCGGAACTGTCATCTACCATCCCCATCCCCCAACTGGAGGAACAGGAACCGTCATCTACCATATCCCGACCATCCCCCAACTGGAGGAGGACAGGAACCGTCATCTACCGTATCCCGACCATGGAGGAGGACAGGAACCATCGTCCCCCGAACTCCCCCAGCTGGAGGACAGGAACCGTCATCTACCGTATCCCAACCATCCCCCAACTGGAGGACAGGACAGGAACCGTCATCTACCGTCCCCAACTGGAGAACAGGAACCGTCATCTACCGTCCCGACCATCCCCCAACTGGAGGACCAGGAACCCGTCATCCCGTATCCCGACATCCCCCCCCAACTGGAGGACGACAGGAACCGTCATCTACCGTATCCCGACCAACCCCCAACTGGAGGAGGACAGGAACCGTCGTCTACCGTATCCCGACCATCCCCCAACTGGAGGACCACCATATCCCCCAACTGGAGGACCGGAACTGTCATCTACCATATTCCAACCATCCCCCAACTGGAGAACAGGGACCGTCATCTACCATATCCCGACCATCCCCCAACTGGAGGAGGACAGGAACCGTCATCTACCGTATCCCGACCAACCCCCAACTGGAGGAGGACAGGAACCGTCATCTACCGTATCCCGACCAACCCCAATGGAGGAGGACAAGAACCGTCGTCTACCGTAACCCGACCATGGAGGACAGGAACCGTCATCTACCATATCCCGACCATCCCCCAACTGGAGGAGGACAGGAACTGTCATCTACCATATTCCGACCATCCCCCAACTGGAGGAGGACAGGGACCGTCGTCTACCGTATCCCGACCATCCCCCAACTGGAGGAGGACAGGAACCGTCATCTACCGTATCCCGACCAACCCCCAACTGGAGGAGGACAGGAACCGTCATCTACCGTATCCCGACCAACCCCCAACTGGAGGAGGACAGGAACCGTCATCTACCGTATCCCGACCATCCCCCAACTGGAGGAGGACAGGAACCGTCATCTACATATCCCGACCATCCCCCAACTGGAGGAGGACAGGAACCGTCATCTACCGTATCCCGACCATCCCCAACTGGAGGAGGACAGGAACCGTCGTCTACCGTATCCCGACCATCCCCCAACTGGAGGAGGACAGGAACCGTCATCTACCGTATCCCGACCATCCCCCAACTGGAGGACAGGAACCGTCATCTACCATATCCCAACCATCCCCCAACTGGAGGAACAGGAACCGTCATCTACCGTATCCCGACCATCCCCCAACTGGAGGAGGACAGGAACCGTCATCTACCGTATCCCGACCAACCCCAACTGGAGGAGGACAGGAACCGTCATCTACCGTATCCCGACCAACCCCAACTGGAGGAGGACAGGAACCGTCGTCTACCGTATCCCGACCATCCCCCAACTGGAGGAGGACAGGAACCGTCATCTACCATATCCCGACCATCCCCCAACTGGAGGACCGGAACTGTCATCTACCATATTCCAACCATCCCCCAACTGGAGAACAGGGACCGTCATCTACCATATCCCGACCATCCCCCAACTGGAGGAGGACAGGAACCGTCATCTACCGTATCCCGACCAACCCCAACTGGAGGAGGACAGGAACCGTCGTCTACCGTATCCCGACCATCCCCCAACTGGAGGACAGGAACCGTCATCTACCGTATCCCCCACCATCCCCCAAACTGGAGGACAGGAACCGTCATCTACCATATCCCGAACCATCCCCCAACTGGAGGACAGGAACCGTCATCTACCATATCCCGACCATCCCCCAACTGGAGAGGACAGGAACCGTCATCTACCATATCCCGACCATCCCCCAACTGGAGGAGGACAGGAACCGTCATCTACCGTATCCCGACCAACCCCAACTGGAGGAGGACAGGAACCGTCGTCTACCGTATCCCGACCATCCCCCAACTGGAGGAGGAACCGGACAGGAACCGTCGTCTACCGTATCCCGACCATCCCCCAACTGGAGGACAGGAACCGTCATCTACCATATCCAACCATCCCCCAACTGGAGAACAGGAACCGTCATCTACCATATCCCGACCATCCCCCAACTGGAGGAGGACAGGAACCGTCATCTACCGTATCCCGACCAACCCCAACTGGAGGAGGACAGGAACCGTCATCTACCGTATCCCGACCAACCCCCAACTGGAGGAGGACAGGAACCGTCGTCTACCGTATCCCGACCATCCCCCAACTGGAGGAGGACAGGAACCGTCATCTACCATATCCCGACCATCCCCCAACTGGAGGGACAGGAACCGTCATCTACCATATCCCAACCATCCCCCAACTGGAGGAGGACAGGAACCGTCATCTACCATATCCCGACCATCCCCCCCCAACTGGAGGAGGACAGGAACCGTCATCTACCATATCCCGACCATCCCCCAACTGGAGGACAGGAACCGTCATCTACCGTATCCCACCATCCCCCCAACTGGAGGAGGACAGGAACCGTCATCTACCGTATCCCGAACCATCCCCCAACTGGAGGACAGGAACCGTCATCTACCGTATCCCAACCATCCCCCAACTGGAGGAGGGCAGGAACCATCATCTACCGTATCCCAACCATCCCCCAACTGGAGGAGGGCAGGAACTGTCATCTACCGTATCCCGACCATCCCCCAACTGGAGGACAGGAACTGTCGTCTCTACCGTATCCGACCATCCCCCAACTGGAGGACACGAACCGTCATCTACCGTACCCCAACCATCCCCACACTGGAGGACAGGAACCGTCATCTACCGTATCCCAACCATCCCCCAACTGGAGGACAGGAACCGTCGTCTACCGTATCCCGACCATCCCCCAACTGGAGGACAGGAACCGTCGTCTACCGTATCCCAACCATCCCTCAACTGGAGGAAGACAGGAACCATCATCTACCGTATCCCAACCATACCCCAACTGAAGGAGGGCAGGAACCATCATCTACTGTATTCCAACCATCCCCCAATTGGAGGACAGGAACCGTCTTCTACAATATCCCGACCATCCCCCAACTGGAGGACACGAACCGTCATCTACCGTATCCCAACCATCCCCACACTGGAGGACAGGAACCGTCATCTACCGTATCCAAACCATCCCCCAACTGGAGGACAGGATCCGTCCTCTACCGTATCCCAACCATCCCCCAACTGGAGGACAGGATCCGTCCTCTACCGTATCCCAACCATCCCCCAACTGGAGGAGGACAGGAACCGTCATCTACCGTATCCCGACCATCCCCCAACTGGAGGAGGACAGGAACCGTCATCAACCGTATCCCGACCATTCCCCAACTGGAGGACAGGAACCGTCATCTACCTGATCCCGACCATACCCAAACTGGAGGACAGGAACCGTTGTTTACCGTATCCCGACCATCCCCCAACTGGAGGAGGACAGGAACCGTCTTCTACCGTATCCCAACATCCCCCAACTGGAGGAGAACAGGAGCCGTCCTCTACCGTATCCCAACCAACCCCAACTGGAGGAGGAGAGGAACCGTCATCTACCGTATCCCGACCATCCCCCAACTGGAGAACAGGAACCGTCGTCTACCGTATCCCGACCATCCCCCAACTGAGGAGGACAGGAACCGTCGTCTACCGTATCCCGACCAACCCCCAACTGGAGGAGGACAGGAACCGTCGTCTACCATCCCCCAACTGGAGGAGGACAGGAACCGTCGTCTACTGTATCCCGACCATCTCCCAACTGGAGGAGGACAGGAACCGTCGTCTACCATATCCCGACCATCCCCCAACTGGAGGAGGACAGGAACCGTCATCTACCGTATCCCGACCATCCCCCGACTGGAGGACAGGAACTGTCATCTACCGTATCCCGACCATCCCCCGACTGGAGGAGGAGGAGGAACCGTCATCTATTGTATCCTGACCATCAGCCGACTGGAGGACAGGAACCGTCATCTATTGTATCCTGACCATCCCCCGACTGGAGGACAGGAACTGTCATCTACCGTATCCCGACCATCCCCCAACTGGAGGAGGACAGGAACTGTCTTCTACCGTATCCCGACCATCCCCCAATTGGAGGACAGGAACCGTCTTCTACTGTATCCCGACCATCCCCCAACTGGAGGACAGGAACTGGCTTCTACGGTATCCCGACCATCCCCCAATTGGAGGACAGGAACTGTCTTCTACCGTATCCCAACCATCCCCCAACTGGAGGAGGACAGGAACCGTCTTCTACCGTATCCCGACCATCCCCCAATTGGAGGACAGGAACCGTCTTCTACCGTATCCTGACCATCCCCCAATTGGAGGACAGGAACCGTCTTCTACCGTATCCCGACCATCCCCCAACTGGAGGACAGGAACCGTCGTCTACCGCATCCCGATCATCCCCCAACTGGAGGAGGACAGGAACCGTCGTATATCGCATCCCGACCATCCCCCAACTGGAGGAGGACAGGAACCTTCATCTACCGTATCCCGACAATCCCCCAACTGGAGGAGGACAGGAACAGTTGTCTACCATATCCCGATCATCCCCCAACTGGAGGAGGACATGAATTGTTGCTTACGGTCTTCATGGTATCTGGTTGAATACGATGTCACAGATATATTACTCGTCATTGAGAAAGAACATATTGCGTACTTTATTGTTCCAATTTTTCCAGAATAAAAACAAAAAACAGCTTTGTAAAAAAAATTTAAATAAAACTTTATTTTCTCCAAGGCCTTCTCAGCTCTCCTCCAGACAGGAAAATTACTTCTCCCCAGTATGAGACCTTTGAGGTCTTGTAGGGTGGGCCTTCTGTGAAAAACATTTTCCGCACTCAGAACAGAAATGTTCCCCCCCCCCCGTTTGAGATCTCTGATGTGTGTAAATTTGTGATTTACAAAGAATTTCCCACACTAAGAACACGAAAACGGCTTCTCCCCTGTGTGAGATCTCTGATGTTGGGAAAGATTGCACCTAAAGGAAAAACATTTCCCGCACTCAGCACAGGAATACGGCTTCACCCCTGTGTGAGATCTCTGATGTAAGGAAAGGTAGGACTTACTCGAAAAACATTTCCCGCACTCAGGACAGGAAAATGGTTTCTCACCTGTGTGAGACCTTTCATGCTCATTAAGAGCGTGTTTAAAACGAAAACACTTCCCGCACTCAAGACAGGAATACGGTTTCTCACCTGTGTGAGATCTTTTATGCTCGATAAGATGGGCATTAAAACTGAAACATTTCCCACACTCAGTACAGGAATGGGGCTTCTCACCTGTGTGAGTTCTTTCATGCTCATTAAGAGCGTATTTAAAACGGAAACATTTCCCACACTCAGGACATGAATACGGTTTTTCCCCTGTGTGATATCTTTTATGCTCATTAAGTTTGGATTTAAAAGGGAAACATTTCCCGCACTCAGGACAGGAATGTGGCTTCTCACCTGTGTGAGACCTCTGATGAATGGTAAGATTGGACTTTTTTGAAAAACATTTCCCGCACTCAGGACAGGAATGCAGCTTCTTGCTTGCATGAGATCTCTGATGTAAGGAAAGATGGGCATTCTTTAAAAAACATTTTCCACACTCCGGGCAGGGATACGGCTTCTCCAGCTTGTGAGATCTCTGATGTTTGGAAAGATTGGACTTTTGTGAAAAACATTTCCCGCACTCAGGGCAAGAATGTGGCTTCTCCCCCGTGTGGAGCCTCTGATGTATTTTAAGATTGGACTTATGTGAAAAACATTTCCCGCACTCAGGGCAAGAATACGGCTTTTCACCTGTGTGGAGCCTCTGATGTATTTGAAGATTGGGCTTATGAGAAAAACATTTTCCGCACTGAGGGCAGGAATACGGCTTCTCCCCCGTGTGAGATCTCCTATGCTCATTAAGATTGGATTTAGAATGGAAACCCTTCCCGCACTCCGTACAGGAGAACCTCTTCCCTGTTGGAAGGCCGGCCCGGTCCCACACAGTCTGAGGTTCCTCAGGATACAAGGAATCCAATGGTCCATCTACACTGGGTGGTGCCAGATGGACATTGTTGGTTGAAGGGTTTTCTCCTGGACAATACAGGGACATAGTGAGGTCTTCTCCTGGACTATATTGGGACATAGTGGTGTCTTCTCTTGTACTATATTGGGACATAGTGGGTTCTTCTCCTGGACTATATTGGGACATAGTGGGGTCTTCTCCTGGACTATATTGGGACATAGTGGGGTCTTCTCCTGGACAATGTTGGAAAGGAGTCGGGTTTTCTCCTGGACAATGTTGGAAGGGAGCCGTGTTTTCTCCTGGACTATACTGTGTGATGTCCTCATCTTCTACTTTCCAGTCTGGAGACAAAGTGAGACAATCCTCTGAGGTTTTCCTCATCTCCGGGCCATGGACTAAAATACAAAGACAAAGAGGATTACTAGGAAGGAGCTGATTGGTTCCCCCAAACCAAACTCCGCCCACATCAGGCAGCTTGGCCTCTGAGGAGTTTACAAGGTGAATAGTTCCTCTTGAGCTCCAGGCTCTTGTCAGACAGAGAGATCCAATGAGAAATTTATCATCTGGACCAATCAGTGAGCAGAATGGGTGGAGGAATGGATTTAGTGTTCAAGACCCACCTGTGCTGATCTCTGTAGGAGTGTCCTCCTCTATAAATGTCCCCGTTATTCCATCCTCCTCCATAGACTGCTGATCATCCCTCACATACGCCTCTTCTTCTGATTTCACCTCAAATTCTATATCGATTGGATCTCCACTCTACATCAAGAGAAGGAGAGAAAATATCATCTGTTAAATATAATCTACAATGATGTGAGAGCTGACACATCACTTCCACAAGTCCATGTTCTAGATGTCCCACCTACCTGATGATGGTGAGGAACAGTGTGACATTCCTGTGTGGAATCCCGGGAATACAGAGGACGGGGACATCTCTCTGGTGGGTTCCTGTAGCTGGATGACTCCACCATGATGTCCTGGGTCAGATCTTTGTGTCCTTCTGGAATCTCTGACTCCTCCATCACCCCATCCTCATCATCCTGCTCCTTTATCTCTTCTTTAATATTGACCTTTGTGGAACCCCGGGAATACAGAGGACGGGGACATCTCTCTGGTGGGTTTCCATGACTGGATCCATCTACCTGATGATGGTGAGGGATGGTGTGACCTTCCTGTGTGGAATCCCTGGAATACAGAGGACATGGACATCTCTCTGGTGGGTTCCCATGACTGGATCCATCTACCTGATGATGGTGAGGGATGGTGTGACCTTCCTGTGTGGAATCCTGGGAAAACAGAGGACGGGGACATCTCTCTGGTGGGTTCCCATGACTGGATCCATCTGTAGGAAACACACACACTGACTGAATCCATTGTTTCTATGTGTTTATCAGATGATGGGGGATCTAAGTGGACCTTCCGTACTGCTCTCTCCTTTCCAATAAAGTCTCCTCTTACCCGGTGATGTGAGGGGCGGCTGATGGTCCATCATGATGTCCTTGTAGAGGTCCTTGTGTCCTTCTAAATACTCCCACTCCTCCATGGAGAAATAGACAGTGACACCCTGACACCTTATAGGAACCTGACACACACAATGATACAGTCACCATCCAGACACATCCCTTGTCTGTTACTGGAGAATGTCCCAGAATTCCCGGCACCGCTCACCTCTCCTGTCAGCAGATGGACCATCGTGGTGGTCAGTTCCAGAATTTTCTGCTCTTTGTTCCTCTCAGGTATCGGAGAATGAGGGGGAGGCACCATGGTGGGGCTCTGGGTCCTGCTCCATCCTCCTGAGATTGGCTCCCCACTAGACTTCTTCACTACAACATAATCCTACAGATCAGGAGAAAGAAAAACCGATATCAATCATCTGACATCATCTACATGTCTACAAGAAGAACATGGTCTATTGGCCAGACTAGACCAGAGTGATGTCATGTGACCTCCCAGAATCCTCTTTTCCTCTCAGGTCTATGTGATGTCATGTGACCGCCCAGAATCCTCCTCACCTCTCTGGTCAGGTCTGTGTTTTATTAATAGTGATAAGAGTAATGTCATGTGACCTCCCAGAATCCTCCTCACCTCTCCGGTCAGGTCTGTTGATGTAATGTGACCTCCCAGAATCCTCCTCACCTCTCCGGTCAGGTCTGTGTGATGTCATGTGACCTCCCAGAATCCTCCTCACCTCTCCAGTCAGGTCTGTGTTTTATTAATAGAGATGAGAGTGATGTCATGTGACCTCCCAGAATCCTCCTCACCTCTCTGGTCAGCAGGTAGATGATCTCCAGGGTGAGGTTTAGTATCCTCTCAGTCATGTGACTCCGGTCCTCCTCCATCCTCATTGGTCTATACAGGTCTCCTTGTAGATGGATAACTTTGGGAGATGAAAGTAAGAATGATTTGGATGTGGGTATGTGTGTGTGTGGGGGAGGGACACTGAAGAACTACGGCCCCCATAGGAACACATTTAGTTTGGACAGATTAGTGTTTCTTACATCTTGGAGGTCCCAGGACCCTCTTCATCTGCCGGACGTCTGTTGGGTTTGGTTGGGTTCTGAACTGGTTTGTAGCTGAATTAGAACTCTCAGAACAAATGCTCAGCAATGAGTGAAGGAATGTCCTTCTTTATTTTATATTCCAGAAGAAGTCACGTGACCTGATCATGTGACTGCTGTGACAGCCAATCACAGACGTCATAGGATCCAAATGTCTACCTCCCAGTATCTAGAAGTTCTAAAACAGCCAGGAGGCAGTAGGAGCCCCTCAGCTCCTCTACTTCCCTCAGCTCCTCTACCTCCCTCAGATCCCTCAGCTCCTCTACCTCCATCAGACCCCTCAGCTCCTCTACTCCCCTCAGCTCCTCTACTCCCCTCAGACCCCTCGGTATGTCCTCCGTCTGACACCAATGATGGAACATATTCTTCATGGCTGGCTGGGGGATGTTTTCTTCCTCCTGACCAGCAATGTAAGGGTCTCTATGCTCCATACTCCTGACCAGCAATGTAAGGGTCTCTATGCTCCATACTCCTGACCCCGGCACTCCATCATTGTGTTGGCTGCATAGTGTAATGATTGCCCATTGGCTGCCTGTGTAGCGCAATCATCGCCCTCTGTAGGCCATGTATGGTCAGGATGGTCATTGTCTTGTCTGTTTATTGTCAGCGCTGCTTGTTAGAGGATCATATTACTAGAATGTATCTCCACAATGAGGAGAATGTTCCGGCCCTGAAAGTGGGGGAATGTTCTGCCCCTGAAGGGGTTAATCTGGGTTCCCACACTATATATGTGTGCATCATCATCTGCTGGAGATAAAAGACATCACAGTGACTATGGAGGAAGAGGATGGATGTGACGGTGGAGGAAGAGGACAGGCGTAATGATGGAGGAAGAGGACGGGCGTAATGATGGAGGAAGAGGACGGGCGAACGGGACGAACGGTGGAGAAAGAGGACGGGCGTGAAAGAGGACGGGCGTGAAGGTGGAGAGAGAGGACGGGCGTGAAGGTGGAGAGAGAGGACGGGCGTGAAGGTGGAGGAAGGGGACGGGCGTAACGGTGGAGGAAGGGGACGGGCGTGACGGTGGAGGGAGAGGACGGGCGTGACGGTGGAGGGAGAGAGGAGGGAGGAGGGGACGGGCGGACGGTGGAGGGAGAGGGCGGGCGTGACGGTGGAGGGAGAGGGCGGGAGTGACGGTGGAGGGAGAGAGGTGACGGTGGGAGTGACGGTGGAGGGAGAGGGCGGGGGCGTGACGGTGGAGGAGAGGGGACGGGCGTGACGGTGGAGGGAGGGGACGGGCGTGACGGTGGAGGAAGGGGGGGCGTGACGGGCGTGACGGTGGAGGAAGGGGGACGGGCGTGACGGTGGAGGAAGGGGACGGGCGTGACGGTGGAGGAAGGGGACGGGCGTGACGGTGGAGGAAGGGGACGGTGGAGGAAGGGGAACGGGCGTGACGGTGGAGGAAGGGGACGGGCGTGACATTGGAGGAAGAGGACAGACATGACGGAGGGTTACTGGGTATAAATATAAAATTAGATCTTATTACCTCCTCTCCTGCCACTTCCAGCAATGTGCCCTCTCTACTTCCTCAGCTCACCTCTCACCCCCGAACTTCCTATTTATACCAGACATCACTTCCTGTTTGTAGCTGACATCACTTCCTGTCTTCCATAGAGAGACTTCCTGTCTGGGTAGAAGTGAGATCACCTCTTGTGGAGCTCAGAGGAACTGCAGCCCTGAGAGCCATCTGGTAGTGTGACCCCGGCCTTGTGCTGGGTGTGTATGGACTGTACGTCTCTTGCACCCTTCTAGTCAGTTTGGGGGATGCAGTCTCCAATTGTTAGGGCTGAGTAGCAGCCTGGGTGTGATAGCTAGCAGGGGTCAAAGTGTGATCAGAGCTGAGACCAGACCACTGGAAGTTCCCCCTGCTCTAAGACTTTGGAGAAAGATCTAGAAGCAGTGGGCAGATCTGAGGAGTGGCTGGTCTGTGCTCTTAGAGGATCCTGGCAAAGCCCCAACAGGAGGCTTGGGAAGCGGACAGGACAGCTGGAGAGAGGAGCCTGGGAGGGGGCCCAGATGGAGAGGAAGTGAGGCTGGAGAGAGGAGCGTGGGAGGGGGCCCAGATGGAGAGGAAGTGAGGTTTGACAAAAGAAGGAGCCTGGGAGGGGGCCCAGACAGAGAGGGAGTGAGGCTGGAGACAGGAGCCTGGGAGGGGGCCCAGATGGAGAGGGAGTGAGGCTGAGAGAGGAGCCTGGGAGGGGGCCCAGATGGAGAGGGAGTGAGGCTGAGAGAGGAGCCTGGGAGGGGGCCCAGATGGAGAGGCAGTGAGGCTGGAGAGAGAAGCCTGGGAGGGGGCCCAGATGGAGAGGAAGTGAGGCTGGAGATGTGAGCCCGGGAGTGAGCCCAGATGGAGAGGGAGTGAGGCTGAGAGAGGAGCCTGGGAGGGGGCCCAGATGGAGAGGGAGTGAGGCTGAGAGAGGAGCCTGGGAGGGGGCCCAGATGGAGAGGGAGTGAGGCTGAGAGAGGAGGGGAGGGGGCCCAGTGGAGAGGGAGTGAGGCTGAGAGAGGAGCCTGGGAGGGGGCCCAGAT